TACCATTACTGAGGGGATGCTGAGTGCTTTAGAGAGAGAAACCTCAGTGTGAACGTCCACAGATCCCTGTAGGTAGGAAGACAGGTTGATAGGATGGTAAAAAAGATAAATGGAATACATCCCTTTACTAACCAAGTTATAGATTATAAGAGTTTGAAGTTGTATTGGAACTTTACAAATAATCAGTAATGCCACAACTTGAGTACTTTGTGCAATTTTGGTCATCTCATCACAGAAAGGATGCAGTTATACTTGACAGGGTATAGAGGAGATTTATGCAGATGTTGCCAGGACTGGTAAAATGTAGCTATGAGGAAAGATTGGGTAGGCTGGAAGTGTTCTCCTTGAAACAGGAGGCTGAGAGGTGCTTAACTGAAGTGCACAAGTTGTCTGGAACTCTGTGCCTAGAAGGGCAGTAGAGACAGCAACCCTCGACTCATTTGGAGTGGGATTTTTTTTCTTTCTGAAGAAGGGTCTAAGCTCGAAACGTCAGCCTTCCTGCTCCTCTGATGCTGCTTGGCCTGCTGTGTTCATCCAGCTCTACACCTTGTTAACTCATTTGGAGTGTCTGGTTAACTTGCTGACCAAATGCTGGAAAGTTGATTAGACTGGGCAACTGCTTTTTTGGCCAGCTCAAACACAATGAACCAGGTGGCCTCTTTCTGTGCTATAAATGTCACCTTATTACATATCCGCAGTGCACCACCATCTGCCTGGTCACCATCTATTCAAACCAATACTGATAGCAGTAATTACACTTCATCATGAAATCTGTATCAAACTGCCCAGTCAGCTGAATCTATCCTTAGCTTGTAATCCTCAGCCTTTCTTCCTTCCCTGCAGCCTGAGTGGGCATTGAATATTTTAATCAAGTGATCTGCAGGACTGTTACATATTTCTGTTGTGTGGCCTCTGCTGACACACATTGAACTTTTACACAGGTGTGGGGGTTGGTTGGTTTCTTCCGTTGGAAGGTCAGGTGACCAGATCAGTTACAAAAGAATTTCATGTCTCTTGGTCGTTTGTCCATTGATGTTCGGCAGTAAACAATAATCAACCTGCACCAGGTTACGATATCCAACCTGACCACCAACTATTTTATGATCTCAGATGCAAATACTAAATTGTTATGATCTGGTTAAGGACCATTAAGCTTTTATTTTTTTAAGCAGGCAAAAGATTATTTCCATAGTACTTGCTAAGATAATAAAGTCACAAGATTATGCACTTGAACAATCAAATTAGAATAGTAATACAGCCTACAACATATGTACACCTTATTTCTACCAACCAGAAATGACATGTGCGAACCCTGGGTTACTGTGACCAAATACACATCAAATGCCAGTGTGATCAAGATAGTTTGATAGATTTCTTGGTAATTGCCCCAGACATTAATTAATGACACTATGCATCATCAAATCTCGTCAAACCTCAATGGATTGCAATTTTTCACATTTGCTAAATTAGCCTCGACAGCCCCAATCCATCATGGAGTCCTTCAACTACTGCTTCTATTGTAGTTGATCGCCTTTCTTCTCTGGGTCTGGACAACCTCGGACTCCAGTACTTCATTCCAGCATTGATGAGTCGTTAGAATTCCAGCTCTCGACTGAGGGCTAGCTTCACCGAGTCAGCCTGCCCCTAGATTTTTACCTGAGAACAACGACACCAAGCAAATGGATCTGAGCTTTTTAACCCCCATGTTCTCAGTCGCACTGAAGTATTACTACTCATAAGTTCTTCTGAACCTTTCATGGCTTTTTTAACATAGAACCAGTTCTTCACTCCCCAGAGTTAGTTTGAATCCTGACTGCACAGAGCTTATCAACTGCTCTTGATTTCTTCCCTGCAGGACTCCTAAAAATCAGTATTCCAAGCATGGAGCATGCCCTGTTTTGTGCTACTGAACTGTGTCACTGGAACTACTTTTCAGTAACCCCTGAGCTGTTCTGACCTATCAAAAAAAACTTTGAATAACTCCATCCCTGATTGCAGGGTTGAACTCAATGTTCCTACCTAATATGTTTAGAATGATTTGCTCTCTGATCATTATTACATTTGCACAGAATACTAGAAATGGATTTCAACAGAACCGACAAACCTTTAAATGAAATACCTTCAATATTTAATCGTACTGTTGTTTACACTAATTCATTTCACAACTGAAAAGTGCAAACTTCAGATCACTCTGGGATGGAGGGCAAGAAAATAATTGGACTGCAGAGTTTTAAAATTTATTAATGGGATATGGACGTCGTTGGCTGGCCAGCATTTATTGCCCATCCCTAGCTGCGCTTGAGAAGGTGATGATGAGCTGCCTTGAACTACTGCAGTCCACCTGTTGTGGATTGACCCACAATGCCCTTAGGGAAGGAATTCCAGGATTTTGACCCAGTGACAGTGAAGGAACAGGGATATATTTCCAAGTCAGAATGGTGAATAGCTTGGAGGGTAACTGGAAGGTGGTGGTGTTCCTTTGTTTCTGCTGCCCTTGTCCTTCTAGATGGAAGTGGTTGTGGATTTAGAATGTGCTGTTTGAGGATCATAGAACTGTAGAATCCCTACAGTGTGGAAACAGGCCCTTCGGCCCAACAAGTCCACACCGACGCCCGGAGAATCCCAACCAGACCCATCTCCCTGCAACCCACCTAATCTACATATCCCTGAACACTATGGGCAATTTAGCATGGCCAATCCACCTAGCGTGCACATCTTTGGACCGTGGGAGGAAATCGGAAGAAACCCTCGCAGACGCGGGGAGAATGTGCAAACTCCAGTCCCAGCAGTGTGAGGCAACACATGCATTTGGAAAGGCAAGGACTGATTAGGGATAGTCAGCATGGCTTTGTCCATGGGAAATCACGTCTCACTAGCTTAACTGAAGTGACAAAAAAGATTGAAGAAGGCAGAGCGGTGGACATTACCTATTTGAACTTCAGCAAGGCATTCGGCAAGGTTCTGCATGGTAGACTGGTTAGCAAGGTTACATCTCAGAATCCAGGGGAGCTAACCAACTGGAAACTAAATTGGCTTGAAGGTAGGAGACAGAGGGTGGTGATGAAGGGTCATTTTTCAAACTGGAGGCCTGTGGCCGCAAGGATCGGTGCTAGGCCAACTGCTTTTCATCATTTGTATAAGTGATGTGGATGTGAATATAGGAAGAATGCTTAGTAAATCTGCAGATGACACCAAATTGGTGGTGTAGCGGACAGTGAAGGAGATTATCTCAAAGTATAATGGAAACTTGATTAGATGGGCCAATGGGCCTCAGAGTGGCAGATGGGGTTTAATTTAGATAAATGTGATGTGCTGCATATTGCTAAGGCAAACTAGGGCAGGACTTATACAGTTAGTGGTAGGGTCCTGGGTAGTGTTGCCAAACAAAGAGACCTAGGGTTGCAAGTGCATAGCTCCTTGAAGGTGGAGTCGCAGGTAGACAGGGTGGTGAAAGCAGCATTTAGTATGCTTGTCTTCATTGGTGAGTGCATTGAGTGCACCAGTAGGGATGTCATGTTGTGGCTATACAGGAAATTACTCAGACCACTTTTGGAATACTGCATTCAATACTGCATGGATAGGGTGAATAGCCAAGGTCTTTTTCCCAGTGTAGGGGAGTCCAAAATTAGACGGCATAGGTTTAAGGTGAGACGGGAAAGATTTAAAAGACACCTAAGGGGCAACTTTTTCCACGCAAGGGTGGTGCATGTATGGAATGAGCTGCCAGAGGAGGTATTGGAGGAGGGTACAATTACAACATTTAAAAGGCATCTGGATGGGTACATGAATAGGAAGGGTTTACAGGGATATGGGCCAAATGCTGGCAAACAGGATCAGGTTAGGTTAGGTTAGGATATCTGTTTGGCCTGGATGAGTTGGACTGAAAGGTCTGTTTCTGTACTGTATAACTCTGTGCACCCTGTCCATGCCCTCAATCTTATGCACCTCAATCCAGTCACCCTCAACCTTCTCTGCTCTAAATAAAAGCTTATCCAACCTCACTTCATAGCAAAAGCAGTCCAGCAATATCCTGGCGAATCTCCTCTGAACCCCTTCCAGCGCAATCACATCCTTCCTGCAGTGAGGTGATCAGAACTACACATACTATTTCAGCTGTGGCTGAACCGAAGTTCTGCACAGCTCCAACTGGCTAAATTCCTAAGCCACTTTGCTGCCAACCTGACTGGTACCACAAGAGCAAGGGGAAGGAATTGTTCACACTCAGTAGCAAAATTTAGCAGAGAAAGCTTCATGCCCTTTCACTCAGTGTCACATTCAACTGAAACAATGCAACTCAAGATAAGGAGACCAATCTGACTAAAACATTCAAAGCAGCACAGCCCTATATGCGTGCTATGCATTATTTCACTATTTCAGATGCATTACATTAAGCTATATAAAATATACAGCAAAGAAAGAGGTCATTCAACTCAATTAGTTAAGTTCCTCTACCTTACCTAACCTCAACAATTCAATATTATTTTTTAATTCCTTTTTCTCTACGCTACCGACTTGCACAACTGTGACACCTTCTATGATGTCACTATTGCTGATGTCTCCCAGAATATGTCCAGCCAGAGATGGCAACCCAGTTCTCAGATCTTTTTACGTGGATGACTTTTTTTTTTTTAAGAAGGCTCTAGTCCCAAGAGCTGACCTCCAATATTGATCACATTGGTCATATTGATAAGGAATTGCTCTGTCTAGTTAGACTATTGACAAGAACATGCCAAAAACATCGAAAGCATACGATAGACACTCCAATCCCGCAATAAAAATAAAATCAAGTTTGTTGTTTGTTGTAAGAAATTGAAAAATAATGCCACATAACAGTGCAGATAGAAATACTATAAGTTCAAAATTTCACTCTGTACTTATTCATCCTGACTTACTAATGCCAGTTGTTAAATTAAGTAGAATGTATTTCAATTCTCCAGGGACAACATTCTACTCTTTGAGCACAAAGAAGGGCGGGAAAATCACGTCCAACGGCTACGTACCTGTAATAGTCGTACAACTCAACAAAGACAGCGAGGTCTTCCAGAGATATGGCATTCTTCTCCCAAAATGGAATTCCAGTTAGCTGTCTAACAAGGTCTCCAAGCAGACTTTTTGACTTCTGCACTCTCTCTAGGTACCGCGGTTCCTTTGTAAACAAATCCTCCAAGGTACGAAGGCTTCCATCTATGGTCCGATTCAGATCTTGAGTACTCTCAGAAACCTGCGTATAAACAAAACACGAGATCAAAAAAAAGAAAATATTTCAAAGTTGGTAGGCTATTCTTTGAATTTCTTTCCACCACATCTATACAGCAATAAAGGCTGCAGTTTCCCTTTATGACAAGGAGTAGCAGGATTTGCAACATGGACGTAAACTTATGTACTTTTCTTTAATTAGGACTCATACTGACTGCGCATTAAATGATTCAGTATGGTCTGGTCTGCTGGTATTCGGTTGTAATTTGACTTGCCGTGGTCAGCGTTTGTCTCAAAAGGCACTTCACAAAACCTATCAATGTGACAATGTTAATGAAATATCAGTACATACACATTTCTGAACAATTCAGTAGAAACCTTTTGAAAAAGCTTTGTGAAATCATGTGAGGAACTGAGGCAACCACAAAGGCATTTCAGATATTGGTGCTTTGAATACTGGATCCAATTTGACTAGATTCGCTGTCAGTTCCAATTTTCTGGAAGTCTGAAATGTCAACAGCCCAAAAGTAAAAACCAAATTCTTTTAACGACATACTGAAGTATGAGACTCTGCCACATGTTGGCATTCAGAATTTGCCCAAAGAGGCCCTTGCATAATGCAAAAGAAAATCACTACTGCATCAAATCCAACTCCCAAGAGGTTAGGAAGCATAGGAACTGTCCATTCAGCCCCTCGAGAATGAACCAACATTCAAAGAGATCATTGCAGAACTGCAAATTGACTTCATTTCTCTTTTCTGAAATTTTTAACTGACCTCAACGATATTTTGGGGAAGTGTGTCCTAAATTTCCATTGTCCACTTGAGATACAGGACAACATTCCATTAACCTTTTTAATTACGAATGCAGTAGATACAAATTAAACTTTTGTAAAAGATGCCTGCACACAAGTTGAGACAATAAAAAAATAGTCTGGCATTTGAGATTCACACTCATTGCATGTCTACCCACTTTACTGTACAGAGCCAGTGCTAAGCTAAGCTAATGAATTCCCTTTTTAAGAGGCTCATTAGTTTAGATATAAAATCATGGAATCCTATATACAATACAGAAGAAGCCAGTCAGTCCTTCAAGTGTGTACTGTCAAAAATACTCTACCCCAGCTTCCCATTCTAGGCCCATAACTTTCAACGGTATGACACTTCAAGTGCTCATCCAAGCATTTTTAAAGGTTGTGAGATTACCTACCTCAACTACCTGCTCAGGCAGTGCATTTCAGAACCCACCACACTTTGATGAAAAAAAAAAGTGTCTTAAATCCACTCTAAACCTCCTGCTTTTCACTTGAAAATTATGACCCCTTGTTATTAATCCTTCAACTAAGGGAACAACTGTTTTCTATTCACTCTATCCACGCCCTTCATAATCTCAATCTTCTCTGATCCAGACAAAATAATACAAACTTATTGTACCTTGTGTTTAGTTTATTTTATATTTTGGTAGCTTATTATATGCTCCACCCCAGGCAACACCCTGATGAATCTCCTCTGTAAACAAGGCAAAGGAATATACGATAAACTGTAGGTCACTGGGAAGCACTAAGGATCAGAGGGATCTTGGTGTGCATGTTCACCAGTCCCTTAAGGTATTAGGACAGATGTATCAAGTGGTTAAAAAGCCATATGGTGTACGTGCCTTTATTAGCCAAGGGATAGACTTTAAGAGCAGGGAGGTTATGCTGGAACTGTATAAAATGCTGATTAGGCCAGGGCTAGGGTATTGTGTACCGTTCTGGAATCTACATTATAGGAGGAGTGTGAATGCACTCGAGAAGGTGCAGAGGAGATTTACCAGAATAGATGAGCAGGAGGCTGGAAGAACACAGCAAGCCAGGCGGCATCTGGAGGAAAGGAAAAGTCAACGTTTGGTTATTACCCTTCTTCAGGACTCATCAGGATGTTGCCTGGGCTAAAAAGTTTCAGTCATTAACAGAGATTAGACAGATTTATTTCTTCACACCAGAGGAGATTGAGAGGAGATATGACTGAGATGTATAAAATTACGAGGGACGTAGAGTAGACTGGAAGAAACCTTTCCCATTAATGAAGAGATCAATGTTCAAGGACATGGAATTAAGGCAAGGAGAGTTTAGAGGAGATCTGCGGAAAATCTTTTTCACTCAGAGGCTGGTGGGAATCTGGAACTCAGCGCCTGTAAGGGTGGTAGAGGCAGAAACCCTCATAACATTTAAGCAGTATTTAGATGTGCACTTGCAATGTCAAGGTTTACAAGGCTATGGACTAAATGCTGGAGAATGGAATTACCAGAGTTAGATGGTTGTTTTTGACTGGCCAGGATGTGATGGGCAGAATGACCTTTTTCTGGGCTATGGATCTATTTGACTGTATGGCACCCCTCCAGTGCAATCACATCTGTCCTATAGTGTGGTGAAAACTGCACATAGTACTCCAGCTGGGGCCTAACTCAAGATCTGTACAGCTCTAGCAAAACCCTCCTGCTCTTATAATCTGTGCCACGATTAACAAAGGCAAGCATCCCATATGCCTGCTTAACTACCATATTACCCTGTTCAGCCACCTTCAGGGTGCTGTGGACAAGTAACCCAAGATCCCCCTGTTCCTCTGAGTTTTCTTGTTTCATGCCATTCACTGGGTACTCCCTTCTATTCTTCCTGCTTCAAAAGTGCATCACCTCGCAGTTATCAGAATTAAATTCCGTCTGCCACTGATCAGCCCATCTGACCAATTCGATTCTATTCTCCTCTAACTTAAAACCTTCATCACTGTCAACCACCTGGCCAATCTTCGTGTCAGTTACACATGTACTTATCACTATGACACTTCCCCAATTCATATTCTCATCTATGTCATTTATGAATATCACAAACAATAAGGGACCCAGCACTGATCCCTTTAGAAAGTCACTGGACACTGGCCGCCTGTCACATAAACAGCCTTCTGCCAACAACATTTGTCTCCTACAACTAAGCTAATTTTGGATCCAACTTGCCAAGTTACCCTGGTCCCATGAGCTTTTATCTTCATCGACAAGATCCCACATGGGAAATTGATAAAGGCCTTCCTGAAATCCATATAAACTACAACAACTACATAACTCTCATCGAGGTACTTGGTCATCTCAAAAAATTCATTAAGCATGACCTCACTCTGACAAGACATGCTGACTATCCCTGATCAAACCTTGCCTCTCTAAATGGAGAGAGATTTTCTCCTTCATTATTTTCTCCAACAGTTTCCTTACCATTGATGTGAGACTCACTGATCTATAGTTCCCTTGTCTATCTCTACTACCCTTCTTGCAACGTGGAACCACATTAGCTTCTCCTCCAATCCTCTGGACCTCCGCTGAAGCAAGGGATGATTTTTAAAAATTGAGTCTGGACCCCTGTTATTTCCTCCCTCATCTCCCACAGCAGCCTGTGATACCAGTCTCTGGGATCAAGAAATATGTCCACATTTAAACTCATCAAAATCTTCAATACCTCCTTGTTTCTTATATCAATGTGCTCAAGAACTTGAGAGTCCATCTTCTCAAATTCTGTACTTTCATCCTCCTTCTCCCAAATAAAGTGATGTACTCATTTAACACTCTAACAGTGTCCTTCGGCTTCATGTGTAGATTTCCCCCTTCGTCCCTAGTGGGCCCTACTCTTTCGCTAGTTATTCCCTTCCTCTTGATATACTTGTACAGTATCTTGAGATTCGCTCTAATCTTGCCCACCAGTGCTTTTTCATGCCCACTGTTTGTTCTCCTAATTGCTTTGAGTTCCCTCCTGCACTTTCTAAAGTCCTCTACAGCCTCCATGGTTTTGCATTTTACATGTCTCTCTTTTCATTTTTACCCAGTCCCATTGTTCCTAGATATCCATGGCTGCCTGAGATTGTTGCCTCCACATTTCACCCTAAAGGGAACATGTTAGGTCTATATTCTTGAGTAACTTTTAGAATGCCTCCTACTGTTCTGCTATTCATTTACCCTCAAAATCTGCATTACCCCAATCTGAATTCATATTTTGGAGATCGTCTTTTACTTTTTCCAATAACAACGTATCATCATTAAAATGCTCCCCCACTGTCACCTCAAACAGCTGTTCAGTTTGCTTCCAAGAATTAGATTCCACACTGCTCCATCCCTTGTAATACCACGTACACATTGATAAGAAGCAGCTTAACAGAATAGAAGAGAACAGAATATTCCTTCATTGTCTCATATACTCAATGAATATAGTGAAAAGTTTATACAACGCCAATCATAGCGCTAACTTAGATACAAAAGTACACAGGCACAGCTTCTTTAGTTACAAGATTTTGTAGACAATACAGAAGTAAGATGTCCAGTATTACAGAAAAGAGTTCAGTACAGCGACCATGCTGGCACTTAGCTTCCAGTCTGCACTGGGTCCCGGCTCCACACTGCACCGGTGGTACGACATGCCAGGCCAGAAGGCAGCTGTGCCAGACCAGGTCACCACACCATGCCGGGATGCTCCTGCGGGAAGAGGCCACGGCAGGAGGCCTGAAGGCATATATTTCTGGTATATATTTCAAGGAATCTAACCCCTCTAAACACTGAGCATTTTGGTTCTCCAAATTACTATTTAGTGTAGTTCAAATCCCCTAATACAATTACCCTATTATTATTTTGACATATCTTAGAGATATGGCTAAGATTTATAAATTAAGATCACTTAGCCTTTTAAATAGCTGCCCAAATAACATGCAATCAGACAGGAAAGGGGAGTCATGGTTGGAACACAGGCAAAAGGACTTAAAGCTATTTTGGTTAGGAAGGTGACTCATTAGAACAGGATACTATAACTTGCTCATTTTTATATTAAGTTATACTGATGTAAATATGCAAAATCCTACAACATGTTGATCTTAATATGAAATAAAGCAACTTAATGATTTGTGCCAATCTTCATTTCTCCTTGTATACTTCCTCAGGCTTTCTGAATTACTACATATATAGAAGATGGTTTTGTTTCATCCTCAGATTATGCTATTGTTCAAGTAATGTACT